TACGACCGGTTTCTCGGAACCGAACTCGATCATAAGCCAGATGGTAGGTGTATCTGAAAACATTCACTTCTTCCATACTCCCTTGCTCCAATGTGTTATCCAGTTTTTTCTTTATCTAAATCGTTTGAAACCCTCATCACCTTACTCTTTTCTATGTTCACTTTCTACTTTCTACCTTTACACACCCTCCCAAACTCGTCCACTAACCTTTGCAACTTTTCTTTAGAATCTCCCATAAGCACAGTACCTCCCTTTCTTCATCGACATTTAAAAGTTCCTCAAAATATTCCCGCTATCTACCCAGTACGTACCTCCAGCTCCCCATCTACTAACTCCCCTACTCTGTTTTTAACTGACAAATCCATTCATTCCCTTGGTTTTCTTAACTTGTTTGTCTCGCTCCAAAACATTTTCTTATTTTCTGCAGAATTTCTTGACAGTGCCTCTCCCACTCTATTATCTGCTCTCCTTTTGCACTCTCTCACCACTCTCTTCACTTTTCTTTTACTCTCCATATACTCTGCTCTTCTTATAACACTTCTGCTTTGTAAAAACCTCTCATAAGCTATTTTTTTCTCTTTTATCACACCCTTTACTTCATCATTCCACCAATCACTCCTCTCTCCTCCTGCTCTCACCCTCCTATAATTGCAAACTTCTGCCCCACATTCTAATACTACATTTTTAAAACTATTCCAGCCCTCTTCAACCCAACCACTGCTCATATTTGCACTAGCCCATCTTTCTGCCAATAGTTGCTTATGTATCACCCCATCTTCCTCCTCCATTTAGTTTATACACTTTCACCTCTCACTTGCTGTTGCCATTTTCCTTTTGTTCCATCTACCTCTTACTCTAACTGTAGCTATGACTAAATAATGATCCGATATATCAGTTGCCCCTCTATAAACATATACATCCTGAATCCTACCTGTCAACCTTTTATCCACCAAGACATAATCTAACAAACTACTTTCATTACATGCTATATCATACCTTGTATACTTATTTATCTTCTTTTTCATAAAAGATGTATTACTTATTACCAAACCTCTTTTTATATATAGCTCAATTAAAGGCTCCACATTTTCATTTATGCCTGCACCCCAAATTTACCTGCTACTTCTCCTCAACATTTTTACCCACTTTAGCATTGAGATCCCCAACCACAAATACTCTCTCACTAGGTTCAAAACTCCCCATACATTCACTCAACATTTCCCAAAATCTCTCTCTCTCCTCTACACTTCTCTCTTCTCCAGGTGCAGAAATGTGTACTATAACCCACTTTTCACATCCAACCCTTATTTTACTCTACATAATCCTTGATTTATACATTTATATTCCTTCTTTTCCTGTCCTAACTTATCCTTCAACATTATTGCTACTCCTTCTTTAGCTCAAACTCTTTTTGAAACCCCTGACCTGATCTCATTTATTCCTCTCCACTGAAACTCTCCTACCCCCTTCAGCTTTGTTTCACTTAAAGCCAGGACATCCAGCTTCTTCTCATTCATAACATCCACAATCATCTCTTTCCTATCATTTGCACAACATCCACGCACATGCAAACATCCCACTTTGATGGTTTTCTTCTTCTTTTTAGTAGGCTATAGGGGAAAAGGGGTTACTAGCCCATTGTTCCCTGCATTTTAGTTGACTTTTACAACACGCATGGCTTATGGAGGAAAGATTATTATTCCACTTCCCCATGGATATAAAAGGAAAAGTAATAAAACGAGAACTATTAAGACAAAATCAAAGAAAGTTCAGATGAGTGTGTATACATAAACATGTACATGTATGTGTAGTGTGATCTAAGTGTAACTAGAAGTAGCAAGATGTACCTGAAATCTTTCATGTTTCTTCTTCGTCTTTCAACAAACTGACCATATCCCACCGAGGCAGGGTGGCCCAAAAAGAAAAACAAAAGTTTCTCTTTTTAATTTTAGTAATGTGTACAGGAGAATGAGTTACTAGCCTCTTGCTCCCGGCATTTTAGTCGCCTCTTACAACATGTATGGCTTACAGAGGAAGAATTCTGCTCCACTTCCCCATGGAAATAAGAAGAAATAAACAAGAACAAGAACTAGTAAAAAAATAAAAGAGAACCCAGAAGGGTGTGTGTACATGCATGTGTAGTGTGACCTAAGTGTAAGTAGAAGTAGCAAGATGTACCTGAAATCTTGCATGTTTATGAGACAGGAAAAAGACACCAGCAATCCTACCATCATGTAAAACAAGTACAGGCTTTCATTTTACACTCACTTGGCAGGATGGTAGTACCTCCCTGGGTGGTTGCTGTCTACCAACCTACTACACTTACCAACATTCAAATTCAAATTCAAATTCAAAATTTATTCTCTATAAGGATTACAATGCTGAGTTTACAGAATTTGGTTATAGTGTGGTTTATATGTAGTAAAATAATAATTACAGAGTGTACCACTAGAACACCTAGCATGGCTAGGCATTTTGGGCAGACTTAGATTAAATCTTAAATTTAAAATATTACAAATTATGAGGTAAGCTGGTATTATGGCTAAGTGACTAAATACTAGTTTGTGAGTTTAGCAATGTGAATGCTTTTGTTTTGGCACAATACATAGTTTCAGTAGTGGAGTATCACAGGCCAACTTATGACTAGTTAGGATTCATAATTTTAAGATTGAAATTGATATTTCTGTTTATGGTCAAATGGGTGAGTGAGTATAAGTGTGAACCACCAGGTGGTATTCATGTAATTAGTTGACAGGGTGTATCAGGGAGATAAGATGTTTTCTAATGGTAGTTTTGAAGGTGATGAATGTGTCTGCAGTTCTAGAGTTTTCAGGTAGGGTGTTCCAGATTTTAGGGCCTTTGACATACATTGAATTTTTTGTAAAGGTTTATTCTGACACGGGGAATGTCGTAGAGATGTTTGTGTCTGGTGTTATGCCTGTGGGTTCTGTCACAACTATAAAGAAAGCATTTTAGGTCAAGGTTAATATTGGAATTTAAGGTCCTGTAGATGTAGATTGCACAGTGGTAAGCGTGGATGTACTGAACAGGGAGTAAGTTTAGATCTATGAAGAGTGGGGGGGTGTGTTGCCAGGGATGGGATTTAGTGATTATTCTTACTGCGGCTTTTTGTTGGGTTATTATTGGCTTTAGGTGTGTTGCTGCAGTTGAACCCCAAGCACAGATAGCATAGGTGAGGTATGGATATATAAGTGAATGGTATAGTGTGAGAAGGGCAGTTTGTGGCATGTAGTATCGTATCTTGGAAAGGATCCCAACCGTTTTGGATACTTTTTTGGTTATGTGTTGGATATGGGTGTTGAAATTCAGGTTGTTGTCGAGGTATAGGCCTAGGAATTTGCCCTCATTATGTCTGGCAATTAGAGTGTTGTCGATCTTAATGTTAGTTTGCACAGCTCTGCTCTGCTACCAAACATAATGTAGTAGGTTTTGTCAGTGTTAAGCATAAGTTTATTGGCTGTCATCCAAGTCGATATTTTGATCAGCTCCTCGTTAACAATGGTGTTGAGGGTGGCAAGATTAGGGTGAGAGATGATATAAGTCGTGTCGTCAGCAAAGAGAATGGGGTTCAGGTGTTGAGATACGTTTGGAAGATCATTGATGTATATGAGGAAGAGCAGGGGACCAAGGACACTTCCCTGCGGAACTCCAGCATCAAGTGGCCGTGTTGTTGATGCTGTGACTTTAATGGTGACATACTGATACCTATTAGTAAGGTAAGATTTGAAATATGCAAGCACATGGCCTCTTATACCATAATGGTCAAGTTTTTGGAGTAGGATGCCATGGTCTACTGTGTCAAAAGCTTTTCTTAGGTCAATAAAAATTCCTAGTGGATATTCCTTATTTTCCAATGCAGTTGCATGCAACTGGGGCACTAGCTTCTAATGAGTTCTGGTAAATTCAGGGTGGACAGTGAGGATATCCTCAAGCACCTCAGAATAGATAAAGTATTCACACAGTTCCAAGTATATCATTCCACCAGGCCTAGAGTCACTCATAACTGGACACTCAACTATGTAATGGTAAAGATCATTTGTCTTCTCTTTTTCTCAGAGTTTACATGTACAATCAGAAGGGATGGAAGGCTCACCTGTGGTTACCTACATGTACCACAGGTGATGATACCCCAATCTGATTCTGATTCAGTATGTCACACAATCTAGTCGAGGTTTCATGTTGCCAGTACACATAACTTTCTGACTGGAACAGATCATAGTATACGTACTTGATACTGGTGCTATTAGGTCTCTGGGTATCTGATATCAGATCTGTGTTTTCTTGTCTACTGTAGCTGAAATCTTTCAGCAGGATGATTTTAGCCCTTAAACGGTCCAAACGTTTATATACGTTCTCTTGCATAGCACCCCAAACGTATATATACGTTTCCTTTGTCATTCATTCAATATTGGCATGATAGGCCTGAGTCACCTAGACATGAGAGAATGGGTGTGCGCACTCAGTGTGCGCCATATGAAAAAAATTGGGGATGCCTGGGTACCACATGCTTTTTTTTCCTATAATTTTTTTTTTTTTTCAAAATATTCGGGGTGCTGCACAGGTGAACGTATATATACGTTTGGACCGTTTAAGGGTTAACAGTGAATAGGGAAATGCCCAGTTGTAGTTCCTCCACCTGCTTGTCACAAGCAGACTTAGCTTCTTCTTCAGTGCCATCATCATAGGTGATTTCATTTTTACTTATAATTTGTATATTTGTTTTTATAGTGCAGCATCAGCTCTTCATGCTTTCATGGCTATATAAAGTTTCAATTGTTATTTATTTGGCAAAGAATGCAAGTAGGGAAGAATTTTTAGGCCCTTCATCCTTAAAGCAAAAACCCCAAATAAAAACTGCCTCAGTATGTTCACTTACCTGTAATTCCATCTGACCATTTTTGACAAATCTGGTTTGTCAGCAATTTCTTATGCAATCACATAACATTTCTGAATGTCTTGTGTTTTCATTTTAATGGTAGAAAGCGATATGACAAAGCAGAAAAGGAATTCATAGAAGCCAAACTGCAGTTGTTCAGCAAGCTGGAGAAGAAGGAACTTCTCACAGAACATCTCTGCCGCATCATTGAAGCCAATGAACGAAGGAAAGCCTGTAAGCTCTCTGAACTTATGGCGAAGCTGGAGATGGTTGACATTTCATCAGAAATTGGTGATACTGGGGCTGAAGAGGTAAGTGGTGCTAATTTAACAGAATAGTACATATATAGTGGAGATAATGCTTATATGCAGTACTGTTGATAGTACAGCATTACAATGAAGAAGTATGGTCAAATACCTACACATAATAGTATGTGGGAGAGAAAGTTCTAATGCAATGGAGATAAAGCTTATATGGTGAAGAGATTTTTCATGTGAAAATACATAGTATTAATTTAGTGAATTAAAGTAAAATAAAATCTCATTTATGGATTTTGGCAATTTTGAATAAAAAAATTGGATGAGCTTTGGAATATCGGACAACATAGACGAAAGTCCGTAATTCTGGATTTTGTCCATTGCAAGAGTGTCCGGTTGTCATCAGACCAAGTCTGATGACTTTGATGTTTGTCTAGTATGGGCCAGAGTGGCAACATCCTGTATGTGTATATTCTCATTCTTCCTTGAGCTGTAGACCACTTATGCCAATTTATTGTTTGTGCTTACATGCATACACTCATCATTCAGACTCTAGTTGTCCCTGGCTATATAACACTTTTTTATTATTAACATTATTATTAACACATGGGCCGATTCCCACCAAGGCAGGGTGGCCTGAAAAAGAAAAACTTTTCATCATCATTTACTCAATCACTGTCTTGCCAGAGGGGTGCTTTACAGTCATGAAACTGCAACATTAACACCACTCCTTCAGAGTGTAGACACTGTACTTCCCATCTCCAGGACTCAAGTCTGGTCTGCTGGTTTCCTTGAATCCCTTCATTAATGTTACTTTGCTCACACTCCAACAGCACGTCAAGTATTAAAAACCATTTGTTTCCATTCATTCTCATCAAATACGCTCACAGCACGCTTGCTGGAAGTCCAGGCCCCTCGCACACAAAACCTCCTTTACCCCCTCCCTCCAACCCTTCCCAGGCCGACCCCTACCCCGCCTTCCCTCCACTACAGATTTATACACTCGAAGTCAATCTGTTTTGTTCCATTCTCTCTACATGGTCCGAACCACCACAACAACCCCTCCTCAGCCCTCTGGATAATAGTTTTAGTACTCCCACACCTTCTCCTAATTTCCAAACTACAAATTCTCTGCATTATATTCACACCACACATTGCCCTGAGACATGACATCTCCACTGCCTCCTGCCTTCTCCTCATTGCAACATTCATCACCCATACTTCACACCCATATAAGTGTGTTGGTACAACTATACTCTCATACATTCCCCTTTTTGCTTCCATGGACAAAGTTCTATGTCTCCACAGACTCCTAAGTGCACCACTCACTCTACTACCCCTCATCAATTCTATGATTCACCTCATCCTTTATAGACCCATCTGCTGACACATCCACTCCTAAATATCTGAAGACATTCACCTCCTCCATACTCTCTCCCTCCAATCTGATATCCAATCTTTCATCACCTAATCTTTTTGTTATCCTCATAACCTTACTCTTTCCTATATTCACTTTTAATTTTCTTCTTTTACATACCCTACCAAATTCATCCACCAGTGTCATCAGCACAGAGCAACTGTGACAACTCCCACTTTGTGTTTGATTCTTTATTTTTGAACTCCTCACCTCTTGCCAAGACCCTCGCATTCATTTTTCTTACAACCCAATCTATAAATAAATTGAACAACCATGGTGACATCACACATCCTTGTCTAAGGTCTACTTTTACTTTTTATTAATCTCGCTCCAAAATTTTTTCTTATTTTCAACAAAATTTGTTGATAACATCTCACCCACTCTCTCATATGCTCTCTTTTTACATTGCTTCACCACTCTCTTAATCTCTCTTTTTCTCCATATACTCTTCCCTCCTTGCATCACTTCTACTTTGTAAAAATCTCTCATATGCTAACTTTTTCTCCCTTACTACTCTCTTTACAACATCATTCCACCAGCCGCTCTTCTTCCCTCCCGCACCCACTCTCCTGTAACCACAAACTTCTGCTGAACACTTTAACACTACATTCTTAAACCTACCCCATACATCTTTGACCCTATTACCTATACTCTCACTAGCCCATCTATCCTCCAATAGTTGTTTATATCTTACCCTAACTGCCTCTTCTTTTAGTTTATACACCTTCACCTCTCTCTTACTTGCTGCTTCTATTTTCCTTGTATCCCATCTACCTTTTACTCTCACTGTAGCTACAACTAGAAAGTGATCTGATATATCTGTGGCCCCTCTATAGACATGTACATCCTGAAGTCTACTCAACAGTCTTTTATCTACCAATACATAGTCCAACAAACTACTGTCATTACACCCTACATCATATCTTGTATACTTATTTATCCTCTTTTTCTTAAAATATGTATTACCTATCACTAAACCCCTTTCTGTACAAAGTTCAGTCAAAGGGCTCCCATTATTATTTACACCTGGCACCTCAAACTTACCTACCACACCCTCTCTAAATGTTTTTCCTACTTAGCATTTAGGTCCCCTACCACAATTACTCTCTCACTTGGTTCAAAGGTTCCTATACATTCGCTTAACATCTCCCAAAATAAACAAAGGCTTCTACAGCAAGTGGTGGTGCCAAGAGAAAACATGTGATTCTCAATGTTAAGGAAGAAAAACCTGAATTAATAAAGAAGTTGAGTCTGGCATCTCAGTTACATGGGTATGTGAGGAATATGATGTTAAGAACAATGATATCCATAGAATCAAGAATAAACTTACAGACTATGATCTTAAGTTCAGTGTAGATGCTAGTGGAGTTTTATGTATTGATCGCTGCAGTTTACACCTTATCTCTCTACCACAAAAAGGTGAGTGCACCTTCTATTTTCTTAATAGGTCTTGTTCTGCTTTATTTCCTCTTACAGTGGAACCTCATTTTTTGGCCGTAATCCATTCCAGAAGGTCGGCCTAAATTCGAAACAATATTTCCCATAAGAATTAATGTAAGTACAATTAATCTGTTCCAGACACCCAAAAATATTAACAAAAAATACATTTTTTAAAGATTAATTGTACAGATCTCCCTCCACATTCGCGAGGGTTAGGGGATCAAGAACCTCGCGAATGTTGAAAAATCACGAATATTTGGTGCACAAATATAGGGTAGGGTAATACAAAAATAGTATTTATTTAGCCTAACAATACTGCTTCCTTAACCTATTGAACCATGAACAATCATAAAACACATGAAAACATTGTAAAATATTGTACTAGTGTCAGCCCTTTGGTAAAGAAGGTGAGAAAGACTATAGAATTCAAGAAAGAACTCGTAGCAGAGTACCAAAGTGGAGGAGGAAGAGAGAGGGGAGAATGTGCCTTCTTCAGTAATTCAGTGATTCTACGATACGTACGATACTAAAGCAGCACAAGTCGATTAAGGCTATAGCACCAGCCAGCCATAAAGTGTAGCATTAACAGTGTAGCAAGTAAGTTAAGCAATTAATCAATAGAAAAAAGACAGCATGAACCTAACTCCTCCAATGTTGTTGGAGTTATATAGGGCAACTGACAACACCGCTTTCTCTAGCACCTCTGCTGCCGCCTCCACCACCACTATGTAAGACTTATGCTCTCAGTGGCCCTTATACACCCAACAACAAAACACAGCACCACTCGTGACATTTGTAATGACATATTTTATTTCATTCTAGAATATACAGTTCTCCCTCAACATTCGCAAGGGTTAGGGGATCAAGAGCCTCACGAATGTTGAAAAATCGCGAATGTTTGGTGCCCCAATATATTGTAGGGAAATGTAATACAGTACTTCTTCCTTAACTTGTTGAACCATGAACAATCATAAAATACATGAAAACGTCGTAAATAACATGTATGTTATTAAATACCACTGCCTCCACTTTCTCGACCACTGCGAGTCCCTACTACCCTCCCTCCAACCCCCCCAACTGGCAGCCAGCCCTCCCACCAGTGTGGTGAGTGTTTTGTTTGTTCATTATTTGCTATTAAACTACAGCATAAATAATGTAAACCCATTCATGACTGCATATTGGAATGGCTGTTCGGACATGTATTGGACGGTGACATCATGTGTTGACTCTTGAACACAGCAAAGAATCAAACATTTCTGCTACTGCTAATAATAACAATAGTAGTAGTAGTAATAATACTAATAATAATAATAATAATAATAATAATAATAAATTATAATAATAAATACGATAAATTGAAGAAGGAAATTGTACAAAAATACGAGGGAGTGGTTGACACATCATCAGTGTGGCTTTATTTATGCTGGAGTGAGTATTAGTCTCCGTGCTCTTCCAAACATTTCACAATAATTCATTGTAGTTTGGTGCTTGTAGACTGAGTGCAACTGGAGTGGCAGTGGTTGAGGAAGCGGGTGAGGCAGTGGGTGAGGCAATGGTTGAGGCAGTGGGTGAGGCAGTGGTTGAGGCAGTGGTTGAGGCAGCAGTTGAGGAAATGGTTGAGGCAGTGGTTGAGGCAGTGGTTGAGGCAGTGGGTGAGGCAGTGGTTGAGGCAGCAGTTGAGGCAATGGTAGAGGCAGTGGTTGAGGCAGTGGGTGAGGCAGTGGTTGAGGTAGTGGGTGAGGCAGTGGTTGAGGCACCGGTAGAGGCAGCGGTTTAGGCAGCGGTTGAGGCAATGGTAGAGGCAGCAGTTGAGGCAGTGGTATTTAATAACATGTTATAAATAATAATAATACATATTACTAATAACATGTATTATTATTATTAATAATAACATGTATGTTATTAAATACCACTGCCTCGACCACTGCCTCACCCACTGCCTCAACCGCTGCCTCAACCACTGCCTCAACCGCTGCCTCACCCACTGCCTCACCCACTGCCTCACCCACTGCCTCACCCACTGCCTCAACCACTAGCTCACCCACTGTCTCACCCACTGCCTCAACTGCTTCCTCAACCACTGCCTTACCCACTGCCTCACCCACTACCTCACCCACTGCCTCACCCACTGCTCACCCACTGCCTCAACCACTGCCTCAACCGCTGCCTCACCCACTGCCTCACCCACTGCCTCACC